CCCAACTCATCCGTCTAGATAATTATCCTTGCGTGACCACTTCCCAACGGAACCGCCTATCCTGCACACCACCGCCGAAAAGAAAAACGCAGAAAATCGAGAAAAACAAACAAGAAAAACCAAAACGAGCGAAATAAAGAAAATGCATGACAAGACTCACAAATGGACCAAAAGCCAAAAAGAAATGCCTAGAATGGGAGAAAATAAAATAAACACGAAAACACTAACAAAAATGGAACGAACAATAGGCTCTTTTACTAAACCTAACTAGTGGACAACCTAGAATAAGCTCTCTAGATTTAATGCTCTAGCAACATTAATTACTAGGAAAATAGATTAGTCTAAGCAACGGGCACAAAAACTCAAACCGTTTAACTTATGTTTACGCTACCCTATAAATGCACGACCCCTACTTCACTACTAACAACGGCAAGGTCAATGTTCATTTTTCACACTTATTATTTTTCTTTAAAATTGTAAATTTATTTCATACAAATAATCATATACAATTTAAATACTAAAATTTTTATTTTGCAAATTGTCTCATAGGGCTGCACTGGAGAAGATGAAGTTTCAACACCTTTAAATCTCTCAAAAGTAAAGAGAAGGTCGACAACACTTCTAATGCAAGACAAAGGTGGACAACACTTCTAATGCAAGTCAAAGGTGGACGAGCAAATGATGAAATGAAGGACAATTTTGATGAATAATTGATCTGCTAAGATATTATTGGTTTACTAAAGTATTTTATTATAATATTAGGATTTTATTTGCTTTGAATACTTTCATTGAATAAATTGGCTTCGACAACATGAATAATTTAGGTTTTAATATTGGAGTTCAGTTTGTTTGATTTTATATTTGGATATTATTGGTTATTAGTGATATTAATTTTTATGGATAATGTTGTACCATATATTTTATGTATCTAATTATATTAATGTTTAATACATAACACAGGTAACCGAAATAAATGAAATTATAAATAAAAACATTGGAAATTTATTTTTCCTTTTTTTTTAACTTTTTTATTAATATAGATGTTAAAAGTTAAGTAAATTATAATAAACATTTATCACTTTATTTTTTTTAATTAAAACAAAATCAAACCTATACAATTGAACAAAGGAATTAATTTAATACATTTTTTTGTCTTCCAATGTTTAAGTTAACAATATAACCACGCAGAACTAATTGTATGATTTTGTAATAATTAAAATTTCCGAACAACAAACAAAGTGTATAAAATAAATAATTTAGAAATTAATTGTAAATATTAAAGCCCCATACATATAAAAAATTACAATATTTCTTTATGTTGTAATTTTTTTAATGGAAGAGTTGATTGTGAAACGTAATAATGGAATAAATAATATCGACACCTCACATTACTCAAGTAATTATAACAAATAACATTCAAGTAAATAATCTATACATAATAAAAAGAGCAGTTGGGGTACATAACTCTAGCATTATAAAACAAAAAAAAATATAAAACAATTATTTAAAATTTTAAAACATAACATAATTTAAAACGTTTTTTATCATCAAAGTGGTAAGAGTTTGGGATTGATAGAGTCAACAACAAAACAACATTTGTGGTTATCCAAACAACTAATATAATACTAACACATCCCTCTATATATAATTCTCGAATGCGCTGAGCCTACGTGGCTGTTTCTGGTGCTTCGGAATCCTACTTGGCGAAGAATCATGCTTCGTAATTAGGTTTGGACAAATAATATTGATATATTAATAATTAATAATCTAGGTTCTAACATTCCATAAATATTATTTAGCTAACTTAGGTATTTTAATATCACTTGTACTAATATAACCCTTTAATTCTTTGTAATTTTACATAGTGAGGCAATAAGTGACTAATATATCCATGACTTTTGATTTGTTTCCTCCAATTAGCTATTGAATTATAAATGTATTTTAAAAGTTGATAACTTTTGTATTTTTTGTCGGTTTTACATATATAATATATCAAATTAATCATCTTTTCATGATCTTTGATTTGATATTCATATTGTATATATAAAATAAATAAATTATATTTATCTTTATAATAATAAAAAATAATAATATTTATTAAAATTTATTAAAAAAATAAAATTATTTCTCAGTTTATATATATATATATATGTTTAATGTAGTTATATGTTGTAAGTTAAAAAAATTATTATAATATAACACAAGTCACACAAATAAAAAGTGTCATACTAGATATATAATAATATATATATTTTAATAAAAGGTATTTAATTTTTCAACTACTTTTTCTCATTAATTTTAGATTTTAAGGAAAAAATTAGCAAGTACCCATGTAATACACGAGCGTTGTACTAGTGTTAAATATACATGTAAACAAATATGACAGTTCTCCATATGGTTTCTTACGCCACGACTATTAAAAAGAGACAAGGACAATCCTTATCTCATGTTGGCTTATTTGTTAAAAAACTAGTGTTCAATCATGACCAGTTATATGTTGCTGATTATGAACAAGAGACATGGACAATCATTATCTCATGTTGGCTTATTTCTTAAGAAAACAATGTTCAGTCATGACCAGTTATATATTGTTGTCTTTCGTGTCACTAATCGAAAATGTTTGAAAATGTTTATTTGTGGGTAAGATGATCTGCCAAAGAATCATACCAATACTATTGTATGTAGAGAAATGTTCAATAATATATAATTTTTTTAGTTTAATTATATGTTTATATGTCTAATCTTATGATCATTGCATTATTACCCAATTTATATACAAAATTGTCTTCTAAAAAGCACATAAATACAGTGTATCGCATGGGTAATTACTAGTAGTTAATAAAAGAGGAGATAAAAATATCATTGAGCAGTATTATTAAATAATGAATCAATTTTTTAGCCAATAAATTTAGAATTTAGAATGATAATTAAGAGGGATAATTAAGAGGGAAGTGTTATCTTCCAAAAGTTTCGAAATTTTCGGCAAGCGGGGAAGTAAAAAAAACTGGCGCAATATTTTTCTGAAAATAGGGTTTCTTTTCAGAGGACCAACAAAATTCTAAGAAAGAGGGGAAACAAAAAATCACCAGAAATTTGTTCTCACACACAGAAAATTATTTCTCACATCTGGAAGCCCATTTTCACTCACCCGCCTCAAGGACTGCCAGAGTTGCGCCCCTACCCT